GTCACAGGTTACAATCCTGATTAAGGTGGCTGCCTACAATTTTTGAAATATGACAAAATCGTGATTTAGATTTAATTTTTTAATTTTTGAAGAGATGTTTCTTTTCAGAAGACAAAAATTGTACCACATATATTGAGCAATCGTCCAAGAGTTGAAAATTGTTTACAAAAGTGATGACGTTACCGTTGTTATATATGGTAACAATGACGTTTATGGCCGACATTTTACCTTTTAACACATTTTACTCGAAACTTGACTAAAGTAGATTATAATGTGGCTTTATCAAGATTTAATTGTTTTATAAAGGCAACTAAAGGCATATCATGATTAAAGATGTATTTAAACAAGTATTAAATGTCGGTAAAGTGCGAACATACCTTTAATGCCCTTAAACACAATTTTATACGTTTAAACATACCTTTAACAGACTTAACCTAATGTGTAAAGGTCAAAAAAGGTATGGATTTCTTTAATCAACTTTAAAGATCACAATATATAAACTTGAGTAAAGTATGATGTGGCTTTATCAAGCTTTAATTGTTTTTGTAAAGGTAACTAAAGGCATATCATGATTAAAGATGTATTTAAACAAGTATTAAATGTCGATAAAGTTCGAACACACCTTTAATGCCCTTAAACACAGTTGTATACGTTTAAAGATACCTTTAGCAGATTTACCCAATCTGTAAAGGTCAAAAAAGGTATGGATTTCGTCCTGTGTAAATATTTATTGCATTTTTTTACACAAGTGGGTTACAAATCTATGAGCAACATGTCTAACTATATACAGGAATGTCCATTTTACTAGTTAACAGTCCTTACAACACGCCATTGTAGAGACGCAGATTGGTGTACATGATTATTGGGAGGTGGGTGGGGTTTTTTTTCCCAAATTTTCACTTCTTTGCCAATGTTTTTATCCCTTGAATTATAAACTAAAATTTTTTTGCCAGAGCTGTTAACGCACTGGCTAAAGTCTTGCGAATGAACAAGGCACGTCGAAACTGCGATCAAAAGTCCTTGATCAAAAGGGGGGCATTGTATGTATGCACGTGAAGGAAAAACCTTCAGGATAATTTCTGATTGGTTAATTTCAAGTTAGCATCAGTTGTTCACGTGCTTAGTAGCCAAAGTTCGATTTTTATCTGATATTTTATAATATTAACAGGACTAGAAAACGGTTCCCTTGTTCTGCCAAGGTATTGGACCTTGTACGTACCTTGCACGGATTGATTTTGTGACGCAGATGTGTTGGCAGAATGAAAACACCCTCGGGCAAATGGAGTCTTCTAGAACATATCACTCCATTAACCGCAATTTATAGCTTTGCTTAAATTGATTATTTAATGAAGTTGGATATGTTGGAAAGAGATAGATAGTCAAAATCGAACAACTGGCCACTAAGCAGGACAACAATAACTTGAAACACATTTTGTAGCATATATTTTGGGCAGAGAAGTGCTCGAGAACAGTTCCGGCCGAACTGTCTAGAGGCTCTCGCTAACGTACGTTTTATCTAGAGAAACAGGCGAATCTCTAGACTGCAGAGGGCATGCTTGACTCTGTGCATGTCGTTCAGCGAGTTGAGACCTAGTTGGACTGGTGAACAACTATTGGTATAGGGCACATTACCCAGGGTACTCAAAGCTGGCTGAGGATACACGCAAAAACTGTAGGTTGTTCTAGAGGAACAGGCGGACCTCTAGATAACAGGGAACAGGCGAACCCCCGTTCAGATCCGTCAGGCCGTCGACATTGAGACCTAGTTGGACTGGTGAACAACTATTGGTATAGGACGCATTACCCCGGGCCGCAACTGATAACCTGACTGACCACAACGAGTCTTTAGGACTGCTCATTCAGGTCTTCAGGGCGACCTGAATGAGCAGTGATTGCGCTTCACGTGGTGAAGTGTTGTCCATCGGACAGCACTTCCCTGCCATTAATGACAATCTACACGAAGTATAGGTTGTCATTTCCGCCACGGGAAGCAGTCCAGAGTCAACCGGGTCGGCAATAAAGTGAAAAATGGGTGGATAAAAATAAACTGCATGGCAAGGAAAAGCGAGACTTTTTTAAAATAATTTTCTTTGCGTTTTTAGCATGTCGATGTAAGGCAGATTCGTTAAGTGTTTAAACTTTTGTTGTTGTTTTTATTTGGAAAAACTAGTTACAGACCCGTTTCAGTTCATTGCCGACGCGGCCAAGTCCGGCTACGACACGATAATAATTATTAGCCGGTTATGTGGACCGTTAACGCAAATTCAATGAATCTGTTTGCATTATGAAATCGCGGTATGAATGACCAACCCTCCATGAAGTACGCGAAAAGGATCCCCATAACCATGCAAGCTATGCCACTAACAGCTAAAGTAAATATAATTAACAGAGTGGAGTTAGACCTTTTGGTTTGTATTTGCAATGAGTTTTGATGGTACAGACGCTAAAACGTCCCTCGGAGTTCTTATATACCTTTCATAACAATCTGAGGACGAGCGTCCAAGAGTCTTTATTAGCCAAGTAGGGAGTCCTGCTGAGCCAGCTGCTGTAGCTGCTCCAATCGTGAAGCTATATGAAGCATACAGGGTTTCGTCTGGTCCTTGCTGCTGAAGTAAACTGCATAGATGTGAAGTTAGTGTTGCACGGGTGAGTGGAGCTCCAGATTCAAACTGAAAAAGAGGTCGACTTTCGGGGATGGAAGGTGTTTGGAGTAAATAATTCTTCATTGCTCGTACAGGGCAGAATTCATTAAGCGATGATCCAATTGTTAAACGGCATCCACGGCGAAATGGGTCAGTTTTTGAGCGTTTGATGATGACGTCAAAGTGTTCTGCATTCAAAATGTTCGGGTAGAAAATAATGCCAGTTCTTGAAAGGTGATATTCAGGATCAAACGGGGAATTACAAGTAAACTCACTGCACCGCAGAAAGCCGAAAAGGCTAAAGTAAAGGCAGCCCAGAGCATCACATTGTCTATAGAATCTGTAAACTGGGGACGTAGTGCACGATGAAGACATGCGAGTTCTTTAAAAGTGATGGGCCGACGATCTCTCGTTTTTTCACCCTTCAGGCATTTCAGACATTTTTCTAATAGTTGCATGGTCCCCATAGTGAATGGCACTTGGAAAATGACGTGCAGCAGATAAGACACGCTGGCTAGATACGTTTTGACAGTTGCATAAGAAACTGATTGGGATAAATGTCCAACAAAGTAAAGTAAAGTAATTTCAGTCGCAGGCAGCAGAGGTGAACAAGGTGTCACGATCCCTTTTTCGAGACAAAAAGAAATAAACCGTTTAATACCGGCTGCGTATGTTTGTTTTGTTGAGGTCGCCCAAGAATGTTGAATTAATTGATAGACACGGTCTCTTAGGTTTGAATCATTGATGACGGGATGATGCAAGGCAGAGGAGAGGCCAACGGCGCTAATTGCTTGAAGCGGTCCATCTGAAAACGAGAGAGCGAGTCAGCAATGCCATTATCGATTCCGCGCACATGTTTAGCGGTAAACGTAGAATTATTTGTTAGCGTACAAAGGACAATTGGTCGCAGTAAATCCATTATCTTCGGACTTTTAGAGGTTTTTTGATTAAGAACTTGAACGATGGACTCGTTGTCACAGAAAAACACAATGCGTTTAGATGTCCACTGGGGTTCCCAGAGACAGCAGCCAAGATAAATTGGATAAAGTTCTTGCCATGCGATCGAAATACCGGTTTTTTGGTTGCGTCTGTTCGGACTCAAGAAAAAGACTAATACCGTTCCAATGTTTTAGAAAAAGTTCCCACATAGCTAAGTCTTTATAAAACCCTGAGTTTAATCGACTAATATTAATTTTAATCTTAGACACGGTCAAGTTACAAAACCCTTAGGGTTTCGAAGGCACCATTGTAGCCGGTATCCTTTTTTAAAGCGTTGTCGTGTCATTCCTTCGTATCGGACAGCCCATCGCCACCACTCTCTAGAGTGGTTGGCCCATCTCCACACAGTGGCCTGTTTGACGAGTCAGCAGCAGACAATATGATGAAAATACCTGTTAGAATCACTTCACGTCAGAGACCATCACGTCAGAGACTATCATATCAACTAACCATTAATAATTCTTCTAGTGTTAACAATAACTTGCAAAATAGAAATGTTGTTCGTGTTCCTTTGTCCAACCCTGCCTCTCCAAACGCTTCCGCACTCTCGTGGTCACTCACGTCGAAAACCACTAATGATACGGCCTCAGCCCATTTAACAAAAAAGTCAGATAACAGCCTCAGTACCCTTCCAGGTCTCAAACTGGTCCACCTAAACATCCGCTCTCTGAAAAATAACGCCCATTTTTTAGAATTACGTAAGTTTACCAAATTAAACAAAATTGACGTCCTTACAGTATCAGAGACATGGTTAAATACCTCCGTCACAAACATGGAAATAGAAATCGAAGGTTATAAGCTACATCGTTTAGACCGACTACACAAGAAAGGGGGCGGGGTATGTGCTTACATACGAAAAGATATTAAATCTCTTGTACTTAAAGACCTCAGTTATATCTCCGAGACGAATTTCCATCAATTATGGATCAAATTACAGCACAAAAAATCTAAGTCACTGTTGGTCTGTGTCTCTTATCGACCCCCAGACAGCCCGCTTGACTGCTTCGAAAAATATTTTAAACCTAATTATGTTCATGCCCTGACGATGGGAAAGTTGATCATTCTTCTTGGAGACCTAAACTGCGATATGCTTAAGCCCACACCTGGATCAGCGTCTTTGATCAAGACGACAAAAGAACTCAACCTTAACCAGTTAATAAAATCACCAACAAGAATTACTGAATCCAGTCAGACCCTCGTCGACGTTATTTTCGTATCCTCGCCAAGACTAGTAGTCAACAGCGGCGTCATAGAAACCTGTATCAGCGATCATTTCCCTGTGTATGTATCACTAAAACTTAAAACCGACAAATCTCCACCAAACTATATCACTACCCGCAGCTACAATAAATACGACCCTGATTTGTTCGCGATCGATCTGGCATCCAACCGTGATCGTCTTGTTTCCATTTTCAGAATGGACAATGTTGATGAAAAACTAACCATTTTTAATGAAATATTTTTAAATACATTGGATAAACACGCCCCAGTAAAGACCATAAAAGTACGCGGAAAATCTTGCCCATTTATCACCTCGGAAATAAAAGCATCCATGATCAAAAGAGACCAGCTCCACAGTCTTTTCAGGAAAACACGTGATCATTATGATTGGCTTAATTTCAGAGAGGCCCGCAATTTTACAAAAACCGCACTTGTTAATGCACAGAAAGAACATGTACTGAAGGAAGTTCAGCAACACAGAAACAATACTGGGTCACTTTGGAAGGTAATTAAAGAAAATATAGCGTATAGGGAAAGAGAGTCAGTGGTCTACAGTAAGGAACCGAAATTAGTGGCCGAAGAGTTTAATCATTTCTTTTCCACCATCGGTGTGAATGCAGCAAAGAAAGCCTCAACACTAATACAAGATCCTAGTGTTTATCCAGCTCGGAATCTTTCTGACGTAAATCGCACAGATAACAGCTACCCTGAAGAAAATGATAGATTTAGTTTCACCCCAGTCTCTTGTTCAGAAATAAGGAACATCATATTAGCTATGCCGTCAAACAAATCACCCGGCAAAGACAAAGTGAGTATGCGTGTCATCAAACACAGCCTACCGGTAATTCTTGGGCCCCTCACCGATATCATTAACTGTTCACTGTCGTCATCTTCGTTCCCTATAGCATGGAAAGAGGCAGAAGTTATCCCTTTGTTAAAGGATGGAAACCACGAGGAAGCATCAAATAACCGCCCACTTTCTCTCCTTACCTTTCTTTCGAAAATTTGTGAAAAGTCGCCTTGAATCAATTTGGTTCGTATCTAATGAAGAACAAAAAATTGTCAACCCACCAGAGCGGGAACAAGAAACATCACTCATGCGAAACATTGAATCTTTTGACCGGAGATACTATCCTAAAGGCCATGGATGGGAAATTGGTTACTGCACTGATTCTAATAGATCTATCTAAAGCTTTCGACAGTGTAAATCATACTTTTCTCCTTACAAAACTTAGCAACGTCGGAGCTTCTCCAAGCGTTGTAAAAGGGTTTGAGAGTTACTTGACCGGAAGAACTCAATCAGTCAGAATTGGATCAACTGTGTCTACTCCTCTCCCTGTTTCTTATGGTGTACCACAGGGTGCAATTTTATCACCTTTACTTTTTAGTATTTATACTAACGATTTGCCCTCATCAGTCCACCATAGTAAACTTGAATCGTACGTGGACGACTCCAAGATATTACTATCTTTCACTGTGGCTAACGTGGACTGTTTAAAGCAACAACTTGAGGAAGACTTGTATTTGATTGCAAACAGTTGTTCCGAAAATGAATTGCTTATTAACCCGGGAAAGACCAAATACATGCTGATTGGCACACGGCAAAACCTACAACAACTTCCCGTAGATATGACCATAAACTTCCTCAACGAGACTATTACCCCCGTCTCCTTTGCCAAAGATCTAGGAATGACAATCGACTCTTATTTGACATATGACCAGCACATCACCAACCTGGTTTCCTCATGTATGAATTCCCTGTGCCAAATAAACCGAGTCAAAAAATGTTTCGATAAAGAAGCTTTAACTCTCATCGTCTCGGCACTTGTAATGAACAAAATGTTCTATTGTTCAACGGTTTGGTCAAACACTTCGTCTACCAACATTAAGAAACTACAGTTGGTACAAAATTTTGCATGCAGGATAATAACAAATATTGGAAAGTTCGACCATATTTCGCCGGGCTTACGCGAACTTAACTGGCTCCCAGTAAAGGAACAATTACTACTAAGAGAGGCTATTATGATGTACAAATGTGTCAATGAACTTGCTCCACATTATTTGAGCGATTTATTCACAAAACGTTCTGACATTCATCAACGAGATACACGTAGCCATGACTCACTGCAAATACCATTGTACAAAACTTCTGCAGGTCAAAGGTCCTTTCATTATAGAGGCGTTACACTCTGGAATGATTTGGACATTAAGTTCAAAAAGTTAGACTCCCTAAAAACTTTCAAAAACGAACTGAAGCGAAGCATGCTAGAACAAATATATAAGTAGATAATTTTACCTTGTTTAAACTTTATACAAATGTCTTACCTTTTTACCTTAATTTAAATTCTAGATTCTAAAACTTGTAAATAGAACAACATTTATTTTTTGTAAATCAGTGTTGAAAATCCCTATTTAGGGAACACAATAAAGTATGTATGTATGTATGTATGTAAGGCTGTTTTACCCCACATGTTAAGGCGATCATGCGACGAAGAAACGTATGTCCCGGGGCAATCACACGACATGCAAACTGGAGAACGCCAATTAGAGATTGAAGTTCCTTTAACTTACATGATGAACGTTTTTGCCAATTCTCAAGCAAAGACCTAGCTTGACCAAGTTTATCAGGGGGAAGATAAGCTATCATGCTAACCGAGGTCTAAAGAAATCCCGAGAAACTCCAATACTTGATTAGGGGCATACGTTTTTCCAGGGTCAATTGGAACATCTAACTCGGTAAACAGGCACAACAGTTTACATAAGGAAGTTAAACATGCCGAACGTGATGCGGGTTCGGCTATAAAGAAATCGTCCAAAATATGGAGAACGTTTGAAACTCCTAGTTTGTGTATAAGAATCCATTCGAGGGCATCAGAAAGCATGTTGAAAATGAAAGGGGCACTTCGAAGACCAAAAGGAAGTACACGATCGAAAAAATACAAATCACGCCATTTCATGCCGAGAAGTTCCCAGTCGTCAGGATGTACTGGTATGTTACGAAAGGCGGATTTAACATCGGTTTTGGCCATGAAACATTTTGGACCGAGCTTTAGAAGGATTCTTATAGCATCATCAGGCGTACATATTGTAGCGAATATTCCTCGGACGAAATGTTCGCATTGACGCTGGCGTTGGAAGTTTTTGGATACGACAAGTGGAAAATTGTTCTCCATTTGGACGAATTCTTTTTAGGAACGAGACCCAAAGGGTAAATTTGAAAATTTTGAAATGGGGGTGAAGTGAAAGGCCCAATAGTGTGACCTTGTTTGACTTCGTCGAGTAAATTACTATCAACGGTTTCCGGCAAGAGGTAAGCGGTTTTTAGATTTTTTGAAAAATAAGGCTGACGAGGCCCGTGATAACCAATTTTAAACCCGTCCCTCAAGCCCGAACAGAGGCCGAAGACAAATTCACGATCTGGGTGGTCAGTTAACAGAGATTCAAGTAAATTAACATTAATTGGTGTAACTGGTTTTAATTTGTCAACAAAAGCTTTACTTGTGTTTTCTGCGACGCGAAGTGTCATCAACTCTTTTAGCGCTGGTGTCATCGTGAGTGTAGGCGCCATGCTGTTCACCACAGTCTGGTCGATTGCAGCGGTGTTCGAACGGACACGGAAAGGTAATACATGGGACACCTCCGTTGAAATTCCGGCAAAACTTTCTTTGGTTGGAAAACCTGCTTGGCCGGCTACCTTCAAACCTTGAGGAAAGAGGGCAGATATTAGACATGTGATCAGCGCCGCCGCAGACAAAACAAATCTGACGCGCGAGACCCGTGAACTTATCTAGCCAAAGCTGGAGATGGCGTTCACCCCAATTAAGCGCTAGATTTTTGGCAGGAAGCTTTCGAAAATCAATATCGTAAGCGTACCATGCGAGGCCTTTAAACTTTTGCGAAGCTTCGCGGATTATACGCTGGTAGGCAAACAGCTGCGCGGCCTTATGTGGAAATTTAGCGACAACCACGGACGCGTAAATACCAAAAGCAGTAAGCCACTTATCTATGTTGTCGACTTTAGCGCGCTTGCCGAAATTTGAGAAAGGAATTGGGATCGTGAAACCCTGGTCGCCCTCTACTGAAAGGCGAATAGGGGCAAAACTAGGACGGTCTGAATTACCCGGGAGAAGCAAAGAAAAATCGACAAACTCACTCTTTAGAATTTGCTCTTCAAGCCTTTTTGGTAAACTTTGGCTGACGTCTAATGTCGAAGAAGATGTCGACGGCTGCGACGAAAGGAGGCTGGCAACTTGTGATGGATTACCAAGGTCCAGAGGCGGCGTTGGAGCGTTTTGCGCGGGAAAACTTGGCAGCGACGGTGGTTGAGGTGGCATAGTTGGCGGCGACCCGTTCTGTTGGGCCAAAACGTCGCGGAGAAGAGGAACAAAGTTCGACGCAAGCGAGCGGAGAGATTCGGATGAGTATTCCGGTGTTGAGCTGGGTCTCGGATCGGCACTCGATGCAGCTGGGACTTCTGTTCCATCGTGATCGGCGAGGCGACGAAGAAGAGTATCACGCGAACCAGAAAGCGCGAGATTTCGTTGCGCCAGGAGGAGATGGAGAACCTCCGTTGATAAGTCGGCGTAGTTCACCCCAGCAGTACTCGACGGCGTCGTCGAACTTTCACCAACATCTGCAGCCGGCGTTTGCTCGATGCCACGCTGCGAACGGCCACGAGTTGAGCCTCGAGTTGGTCCTGAACGACGCTTGCCTTTTTCTTTAGGCAATTTAGGTCAAACAATATTGAATTTATTATTTTTTTCTCCCAAATTTTCACTTCTTTGCCAAGGTTTTTATCCCTTGAATTATAAACTAAAATTTTTTTGCCAGAGCTGTTAACGCACTGGCTAAAGTCTTGCGAATGAACAAGGCACGTCGAAACTGCGATCAAAAGTCCTTGATCAAAAGGGGGGCATTGTATGTATGCACGTGAAGGAAAAACCTTCTGGACAATTTCTGATTGGTTAATCTCAAGTTAGCATCAGTTGTTCACATGCTTAGTAGCCAAAGTTCGATTTTTATCTGATATTTTGTAATATTAACAGGACTAGAAAACGGTTCCCTTGTTCTGCCAAAGTACTTGGACCTTGTACGTACCTTGCACGGATTGATTTTGTGACGCAGATGTGTTGGCAGACTGAAAACACCCTCGGGCAAATGGAGTCTTCTAGAACATATCACTCCATTAACCGCAATTTATAGCTTTGCTTAAATTGATTATTTTATGTCAATTTACCTTTACAATCTTTAATCTTTACATTATATGTTTTAAAAGTGTCACGTGAACACAATCTCCTTTATCATGGGGGGATCTTCGGTGATTACTGCAATGCCAATAAATCAAATAAATAAGTTTGAGGCTAAATAGAGGTTACCAAATAAGTAAAAAAAATCACAACACAGATAGGTTGATGTATATTAATCAATGTAATTCGTAATTTCAATAAGTGCCTACTATTATTATAAGTATAGTCATTAACATGCACGCAATGCATGTAAAATAAAACAATGTACATTTGAAAAATACATGCGGAAAGTATATATATTTAGTATACATAACAACGGAAACTACCAAAATGAATGTTTTAAAATGTTCTCTAGCTTTTGATTAAGTTCAAATCACACCATCAGTCCAGATTATTATATAGAACTTAGATGAAAGGTAAACATTATAATTAAAAAGTTCATTTTCAGGGGCTGATAATGACTAGAAAAATATTCCTCTTCGGAGTTCCCATTGTTCGGTATTATCTCAGAACACTAAGTGGTTACAGTATAACAGTCTGTCTAAGAGTATATATGATTTGTTCGATATTGTTGGAAACTAAAATATAAATAACATATGGTAAAATTTTATTTTCATATCCTTTCTGTACACTACAGAACTGCCCATTCCCAAGAATTGTTAAGTGGGAAATGTGGTATTAAAAAAATAATTGACATAAATCAGTAGGAATTGTCAGGTGAAAATTTAAAACAGCGCCATGTTTATATTAAACAAGTAGCTGTTTGTCCAATGTACAGTTTGAGAACGCTTTCTCGGACGATATTGTCCAATACTGGTCGGATTGGAAAGACTTATTCTTGAAGGCTGTGAATAAATTCGTCCCTGTTAAAACGACTAAAGACATAAATTCCTCCCAATGGATTAAAGGCGAAGTTCGTCAGCTTGTCCGTAAGAAATATGCGCTGCATTCAAGAAATTCCGCCAGAATAGATCCTTCATCCGTAAGCAAAAGTTGCGTTGCATAAGTCAAAACATCAAGAGTTTGATCAGAAAAAAACATCGCGAATATCTAGAAAGAGTCGAAAGTTCGTTCAACAAAAACCCGAAGTTTTTCTGGAGCTACCATAAAGCCATTCTACACCATAAGGAACAACACAACGCGGTTGTTACTTACAAAGATATTACAGCCAAAAGTCCAGCAGAGAAAGCTGAACTTTTTAATTCATACTTCTCATCTGTGTTTGTACCATCAAAATCCACCACTGACACTGACAATAACTTAGACTCTTTTGATCCCGATACTCAAATATCTGATATTACCTTAACGACGGAAGAAGTACGCAATTGCGTGTTTCAAAAACTGCAATTGACAGTGCCCTTGCTTTGTGCCTTGTTCTTCCTAGCTATATGTGCATTGTGCTTAGTGATTATAGACTTGACATTGCTCATGCAGGTATAACTTACTTTTACTGTAATTCTGTTAAAAATCTTACACTCTAAAAAAAGGTGTGTTAATTTAACACACTTTTTCTCCAAATTTTAACACACCTTAAGGTGGGTTTTAGAACACACCTTAAGGTGTGTTTAAAACAGCCTTTGGCGTGTTTTGTAACACAGCTTAAGGTGCGTTTAACACACTTTAAGGTGTGTTAAACACACCTTAATCATTCTCATCCGGTCGAAAAGTAGCAATTTCGAGTGGTGTTGTTTCAAACGCTTATATCTCTCAAATTATACATCGCACGGAAACAGAAATTGCATCGTTCGAAAGAGGAGGACTTCTGCTTTCCAACGATACCAATTTCAATTTCATCCGGAGCTTGGTTAACGATTTACTCGCATACATTTGCATAAATTATGATATAAAAAAATGTTGCAATTATGCATAAATGTATTTAGCGGTTCAAATTTCAAATATGTCAAAAAATTTTATGAATATGACTGAAAGACACGGTTATGATCTACAAGTACCCGAAGTTTCATGCATGTAGCATAAATAGAAATATTTTTATTGAATTTTTATATAAACTAGGTAGTGGAGTAAAATTTACATTTTGTG